GAGAGCAAGTAACACAAGACTTCTCCATTGGTACTGAATCCCCGACACGTTCATTACCTCACAATTATAATCGTCCTCAGCATTCCTGGAATGCACGCGACGTGCCCGAATCAACCTCACGCCGTTGCTCGCAACAAGACCACCCGCTGCTCTAGTTCATAGATAACGACGACGAGTGGCCTGTAGCGTAATGCTGTTCAGACGAAAAGAGACTAGGGCTAATACTAAAACCAAAACGTCAACTGAAGAGAGGGGAGTGTTCCAAAAGAAAGGGTAGCACAGGACTTAGAGGCACATTTTATCCAATACTTCTTCACCTTCACAATCCGACCCCATCCGGCTGTGGACGTTGGGTTCTGCACATTATCTGAGTGAAAAGTAACATGATAAACTGAAGAGAAAGTAAAAATATCGTAGAAGCAATGAAGCCCAAGCACCACTTGCCACTACTCCAAGTGCTGACAAAGGTCACGTAAATTATCACTGCCCTATGCTCTACACTGTTCAGTGAAATGTAAAGAACGAAGTTAATTGCCTTGTCGATGAATCCGTAGTGCGCAAGTAGCTGAATGAATACATTATACATAGGGCCCAAAAACAATTTGTTAACTGATATCGGGAAATAAAGATGGTTATTATTTTTCGAGAACATGAAGGGTTGTAAACTATATCATAATATTAACATACACGGTACAATTAATAACTAAAAAAAAATACGACATGAGCATTCCTTTTCCATATACCTTTGCACATCCCTGCATGAGCAGGTGAAAGGAAGCAAAAAATAATTTAGATTTTGTTATGACTGTTTGCTCCACTATTTACATCGCTGATTTTGGTATTGCCGCTTTGCTTAGTGACATGGGCTGTTTGAGATCCATTAGATCCTCACGACGACGGCTGAGAGCTGACGCTCCACTTGTGAGCTTTACGTCTTTGTGTTCAATCGCGGTTTCAAAAGCTTCAGCGGACTCAATGCAATTTGCTTCAAAATCCCAATCTTCTTTATTTTCATGAACCATCAATATCGGAATCCCCGCGCGGTGCATCGCCTTCTCATTTCACTTCATTTTTGGTGTTTTGAGTGATAAAGTCTAGAATTTTCATGTAGACATTTGGAGCACGTTTATCATTGTGCTCACCTCGGACCAACGTGCGGACGCATGACCCTTTAAAAGCATTAAATATCCTCTTGGAGTGCTCTGGGAGAACAAAGTCATCGTCTTCTCCGTGTATAAGCATCGTCTGAACTTTACAGTCCCGAGCAAACTTGACCGTGTCGACGTCATCGATATCAAACATGGCACGCTTGATGATGTTCTTTCGAATTACGTTGACAGCACCACGTTTGCAAAAGTTTGGAATACAGCAAGACACACTTTCGGTATGCTCAGTCACAAGATCGTCAATGAGCTCCTTCAGTGAAGAAAAGGGGGAGTCACACACGATACAGTTGATAGAAGGGTCCCCGGCTGCGTACATGATGGCGGTCACAGCCCCCATACTGCGACCCCAGATGGCGATGCTGCTCACCTCTTCGACCTGCTTTCGAAGGTATTCCACTACCGCGGCCAGGTCCTGTCTTTCATAATAGCCCATGGAAATGTATTCCCCATCTGATTTGCCGCAGCCGCAGAAGTCGAATGCGAAAAGAGTGAAGCCGCTCTCCAGCACATTTATTGCATCCAAGGCATCGCGGCGGCTGCCACAGTTGCCGTGACAGTAGATTACACAGGGTCGCCGCTCAACTTTAGGTGAGCCATGTTCATCAAGCATAACAGGCTTATACCAAGAGCATTGTATGGTCAAACCACGCATGTTTCGAAGCTCCATATTATGCCTGTAGTGAACGCTGTCAGGATTATCATCAAAATGAAATATCTTATGTTTCAGATCATTATCTGTGTATTCATCACGAGGTGGTCGAATAATGAGGTCGCTCAGAGAATCAACGAGGT